GGGAGACAAAAAGAAGGATGTTGGGGGAGGGAGAAAGGTAGGGCTCGTTGAGCGGAGTGTAAACCTCGCCGGCGAGGCCTGTAACCATGTGAGTCGAATCAATTGTCCGGTTCGTAATGTTATTGATGGTGAAACTGACAATGTTGCCATATCCGTCCCTGGCGGGATGTCGTGTATTTGCCGTGCCGTGAAGCTGAAGGCAGGAATTCTTAGTATCGATACAACATTGACGTAAATAGAAGGAAAGGCTTAGAGGATGCAGCACCTGATGAAGGGTCTTTAGCAGGAAGTATTTCATATTCAAAATGCAGGAGTGTGAGACCCCCCGAGCTGGAAGAATGTGTTAATGGCACGGATAGTTCCCAGGTAGGTTTGAATATACTGAGAGTAAGCCGTCCCTGGAAAGCGGCTTTTAAGGTCGCGACCAGTTCATGACTCTAGAATTTCATCCAGGGCTTTATTTCGAAGCAAGTCCACGAAGCAAGAATTTAGTTTCGTTCATAAAACGAGCTTAGTAGCCCAGTATACCCCCCGGTACGAGCCCATACTTCACGCGTTCGCTCCACCTCGCCCAATCCTCCGAACACTGCTTCCTCATCGGCGCATTACCATCAGGTCGAGCCTTTGATAGCCCTTCTTTTAGTGAGAGTTGTGGGGGTATAGGTGGCTTGAAGGCGGTCCGAAAGGTTAAGGCCGAAGGCCGAGAAGAGCATGAGAGATGAGCGCGCTGGCGCTTCGAAAGACATTGGTAAGGATGTTGAGAAAGAGAAATACCCTCTTGGTAGTAAAATGAGTGCGTGGTTCGCAGAAGTATAAGTAAGGACTTTCTCCACCATTCAGGCTGTCCCACTTTTTTTCGACTAACAGGAGAGCGACCAATAGTCTCCAGCGCGGCGGGTGGCGTACTGGAGATCCTGGCCTTCTCGGGGCCCCCAGCAGAACTCGCCAAGATAAGTACCACAGTTCGGCTTTCACCTGATAAATTGTTATTGGACAGTGACTCGATGGGCGTTCCGAGTCTCAGTGGCTGAGATAGAACGTCAATTACAGGTTACACTATCCCATTTCACGTTCCTGTATTCCATTCGGGTTCGTGTTTTGCCCGTGCTTTCGACACTCATATGTAGCCACACATGCAATGATGCAGTAGGCAGTGATCAAAGCTCGGCGCTGCACGCAGGACGGCAATTCATGAATCCAACGATAAGAGATACTGGCACATGCTATTTAATTCATAACCACGGGATTTGGACTATCAGCGTCTGAGGTTACCTCGAAAACATTGACTCCCTGTTTCCAGGCATCGGAGTGTTCAAGGTTACTCCCAAGGGGGGGGGGGGGAAATAAAATTTATGACCCACACTCGAATTTTTTTTTGAGGCAGGTTGAGGGGGGACTAACTAGCTACGTAATTTCCATATATGGTAAGACTTACCTTTTTTGGCTGCCCGTCCGGCAATCTCCGAGGTTTTTCACTGACCAACCTACGCTGGCATCTCTGGAAGTGGCGGCCATGAGTTTGGAGGGTGCTTATCATCCTGTGGACCTCCACCTGAGCCTGACCTCAACTGAAGTCGCGCCTGGGGTGGGGTATGCCCCATACCCACTTAAGCACCACTACAAGGGCTACAGGTGGTGAAGATGGTGCTAAAAGGTAAGATTTAGGTTGATTTTCAGCGAGAACAAGCGATTTTCAAGGACACAGTCTGTTCTAGCTCCTTCCAATGCCTTCAAATGGCCTCATACGTCGAAAAAAAAATTGGCCTAAAATTTTTTTAAGGACCCCCGAGGGGGGACTAACTACCCACCCGGGTGTCCGGGATCCACGGCCCGCCCCCCCCTTGGTTACTCCCACCGAAAGACGCAATCGGACGGGACCCCGTAGTGATCTCAGGATCCGTTTGCCTCTTCAACGCGTTGAATGGTGGCATAGAGTACTGCCGAGTGGACGAATGCAGTTCTGCGTTTTACTTCTGTGGTGGTCGAAGAAATGCAGATTTGCTACTAATACATAGACATAATGATACATCACCGACGCCTATACTTCCCCGGGCCTAGAAGTTTTCTCATCAGTCTCATGCTCCCTCCCATCCAACGCCAGGTGAGATGACAACTGAACCGTAACAGGGGTCTCTGTGGTACGCTGAGCGAACGCCAGAGGCGACAACGGGGAGGTGTTCGTTGTGCCGTTCGGATTGTTCTCGATACTTACTCCGAGTCCGGCGCGTATTATTATCACTGTCGGTGACATTCCCTGGCAATCACCGTCATGCTGAGAATCACGATAAAACCATTGACATATCGGATGTTACTCACCGCAACCTGAATGAGAATCGGATATAGTCCGAGATCAATGCTGATAGGAAGAATCGAGTTCTGGATCTGATATATCACCAGCAATGTAGCGTAAATCACGCCAGACTCCAATCTGTGAAACGAAGTGCCTTAGCATAACAGATGAGGAAAACATAAAGGCCTACCCACGTAATGGCGATGATAGTTCGAACACTCTTTCGCATTGAAGAGCCTTGTGCTATGGAGCGGGATATCCACCATATCCTGCCGGCTAATGAGAACCATGGTCAGAACACATGTATCAATCACCATCACTCGTACTCACCGGTCATGAAAGTTAATACCAATTGGGTAAACGCAACTGCTCCCGTGAACCACATAAATATGTAGTTGCCGTCAACGAAGGAGGTGAGGTTGGCGCTTAGTTGCACGGAAACTGCAACGATTCCAACGGCTATTGACCTTTATATGAGCTAAGGACCGTGAAAGAGACGCAGGCGCTACCTACTATTGCTGGCCAAAGAAATAATGATGGGAACAATTATAAATCGCTTTCGAGAGCCCCATATGACATATGTCCGGTATATCTGTACCACCAGGTGTTGATCAGCGATTGAAACGCAATGGCTGTGAACCATCACTAACAAGGACTCCATCGGTCACAATACTGGGGTACTGCATTGAGTGCGAGTGGATTATGAAAGAGAGATGGAGAGCGTACTTTGCCAGGAGAAAGGTGATATGCGTAGCTCCGCTGATAATGGACGAATGTGTTTGGACTCTCCAGAACGAGTCACGACAAAACATGCACGCACCTTAAAATCATCATTGCCCTTCCTCTTTCTATCACAGAACCCATATTGATCATTGCGGAATCCGAGCGCCTCGTGATCGAAGCCATAGCAGTCTTCATAGAATTCATAGAATTCGAACCCCCAAACATTTTCGCCAAGTCGAGGTATATCTCGGATGACAGCACGGCATTTGCTACACTCAGGACGAAACTGACTGTTGCCAGTAGGTAAAGAGGTATCAATGCTGGAATGTAGGGTTTTAGGTGATGTAGAGGCCGATTGGGGTGTCGGAGGATGTATATGCAGATTGAAAAGAGCAAGGTGTAGAGACCTAGAAAGGGTTTTGGTGTTTTGTCCGAGAATCATTGTGCAACGTACCGTAGGCGAATCCTTCGAACTACCACATCCAGAACAAGGTTAGGTTGACCATCTGCCTTGCAGCCAATTTACGCACCGTGACTGTAATGAATGGATTTGTGATGATGTTGCCCGTCGAAAGGATCAGGGAAGGGTCTTGTAGGACGACCATACCGGGTAAAAAAAAACAATGGGGGTGTGGAGAATCTATCCCGTATTTCGGGATGGGATACAAGAACGGGAGAGAAGCGGTTTGAACGGAGTATAATACGGTCTATGATCCAACCGGTGGAACAGGCCTTGGAGAAAAGAAGAAAATAGAAGTAAGGCCTAGCAGCGTCTCGCTCCAACGAGCGGAAACGAAAAGACCAACGCGGTGTGTCTGGGGTCTATATATTGGGGCGCTTGTCTGGCTATCAGCTTAGTACCCGGATGACAGGTTGCCTTCGAACTCGAAAACTCAATGCCGCAATCAACAGCGTCGGCTTGTGATTGACATCAGTTTGGGGCGTTGCGAGGGACGGAATTGCGTGCCACAAAACCTTCCAAGGGGAAGTATTCAATCTTTTTTGGGACAGGTGCCCGACTGAATTGTAGTAGGTCTGTCCACAAGTTTGCCACAAGCTTAATTGCAGGTGGTAACAAAGACATAGCGCCAGGCAGGATCATGAGGAATGGTTGGAAAAATTGGGATCATACTTACCATCGCGACCTGATGCAAAGCCGGTGCCCACCCGCCACTATGAGTGCATTTTTGATGATTGCTGTGCGACGGAGTGGGGCCAGTAAGAGACCACCAGCGTGAATCCCAGTGTCATCTGGAAGTAAGCCTAGAGTTGAAGCCCATGTTAGTAGAACAGCGATAATTTCCCGACTTTTGTGGGTTGACATATGCTCGAGCTTTTGATGACTCGGTCATTCGACACTGGGAAATCGAGAATCTTGATCCGATACCCAAGACATCGAAGCATCCCCACCGTCAGCATATCACAATCATAATACGACAGGTGAGCGGATCTGACAGTGATGGCGGCATTACCAGTTCAATTGGCCTAAGTAAGTACCCCAATTGATTTTCTCTCAGGAGCCCATAACGACGCGGCGGACGCTGTCAGTGGAGCAAGCTGTGACAGAGGCGGAGTCCATAGCGCTCGAATCTTCTCGTGGTGCTACACAGTTACTTCGTTATATCGTAGTTTCGCTAAGGCTCGAGGATGAAGTTAGGGGTGGTCTTCCAGGCTGTAGCGAGATTACAAGTTGAGGATGAACTGATCGCCCCACTTGAAAGTTGAACGTTGCTCTTGGAGGAAGACCTTGGGAAGACCAATGAATCACAAGTTGAAATACGGCACGCAAAATCACGGGGCTTCAGCTTCAGGGCCAGTCAAATTGACAAGCTCCGGGAATATCGGTTTCCCTTCGAGTTGGCAAAACTCGTACATTGATTTGCTACTCAGAAGAGAAATTTGGAATCACCATGAGCGTGGTACGTACATATGCGAAACGAACTGGTGTCGTGTTATGTTGTCGGCCGAGAATTGCAAAAAGGTCTTTAGCCCACCGCGAGGGTCGAACTCGCAGCCTTCAGATGCCCGTTGCCGGCTCTTTTAAGAGTCTGACGCTCTATCCGATTGAGCTAGGCGGGCAGATATTAAGGCTCACAGCATTGTGTATCAGAGTGGGAACTAGAATTTGAGGGAGGTCTGGAACTCGTTTCTCATGCGTCAATCGCGACGGTAGAAGGTCATAGGGCAGGGAATTTTACGGTCCATGTTCCTGGCTCACGACGTGACCTCTCCGCGTCCGCTGCACACTTCCAGTCATTAATCTCTCCTTCGACAGAGAGCATGTCGAATGATGAACGGCTTTGACCAATTATGGTACATTAGTATTGGATAAATACGACAGCAACAGGCACGAAACGAACACAAAAAGGAGTGAAAGTGATAGGTATACAGTAAAACTAACGACAGGATGAACGTGCAGTCACCCAGAATCCCAACATCAATGATAACAAAACTCGCATTTCCACGACTACGCGCATTTTCTACCTACCATACACAGAACGAACGACTCTAGACCTGGGCATGAACGGGAGCCGGCGAATACCCTTGAACTGGAGGGGTACCGGCAGAGTTATACATCATCTGTCCCTGCTGCTGAATCTGCTGGGGCTGGTACTGAGGTTGCTGCATCATCTGCTGCTGCTGCTGCTGCTGCTGAGGTTGACCGGTGAATTGGGGTTGTTGTTGCATCTGACCAGTATACTGAGGCTGGTGCATCTGCTGAGGCGGGGTCATCATATGGTTGTTATTTTGCTTGTTGTGGGCGAAGTATTCGGCATCATTGGCACCAACGAGCCACACGTTGTTGCCTCGGGATTTGCCAATGAGGCAAACGACGATGACGAATGCGATGTAGGCGAAGACTAGGAGTAGAGGGTCAGCCACGAAGTTTTAGCGAGTACGGAGGGAAGGAATTAACTCACGGAGGATCCAGTTCAGGAACGAGAACGCCTCGACGGCGGTGAACTCGCTGCAGAAGCCAGATTGGCCACCTAGGAAGCCAGACATCAGCTTGGGACGAGAATACTCGGAAAGAGAAAGACATACGGGTCCAGCCTGCCCAACCGCATCCAACTTCAGCATAGCCAATAAGGGAAGCCCATTGGCTCATCAAGATTCCGTTGGCCATCCAGAGAACGGCGAGGAAAGCTAAGGACAAGAACTTGTACTCAGAGTCGCGACGACAGTCAGAACATCAGGACAAACGTACCACAGACTGGGACCTCGACGACATTCATGGTCATGAAGGATCCTTTCCTGAGGAAACCCACCACGAGGCTACAGCGTGCCAGGAGTGTGAGCAAGACTTCACACGGAAACAAGAGAGGTAGAACCCACAATACAGGGACCGAGACGAGAGTAAGGACCGAGGCCGCAATAGAAAGACCTTGGAAGTCCGCCAGGCGGGCACGCTCACTCGTGGTAATATAGGTTATGTGGGCAGAAAGCGCCAGACAGATGAAGCTGAACAAAGTGACAGCGCCTGCAGAAACGAGATTTGAGCATCCATCCAACGAAACTGAACGCGTCGAAGACATACCCATCACCCCCATACGACCAAAGTTCATCAGAGCCCAAGCCATCGTGAAACAAAACGCAAGTAGTTGACGGAAACAAGGATGCAAACGGTCGAGAGTTCGAAACCCGAGCTGATTTGACCGGAGGACAAGGGGAGGAGGTGAGGTTCAAACTGGCGGATAAGCTTATAAGGCTTTCACAGTGACTCCAGCACTGCCTGGGTCCGGCTCGCGACAAAGGAGCTGTCAAACGTCGGGCTGTCAGAAATAACATCAATACCTCCTTGTCAAAAGGATGACCCTTCATAAATCATGAACGGCATTACGGTCAGGCGCTCGGGCAACCCTGTCTGGCCGCCTAGGTAACAAAAACCTTGTTCTAAGGACGAAAAAGGGGGAATTAGATCTCCTCGTCGAAAGGGAACGGTATTTGTTGCGAACCTTGAAAGTGATCGACAAGCACCGTGGCTCAGTCCCTCGATCAGGAGAGGCCAGTGAGGTTGCCGAATTGAAACCGAGTTGCCAAAAGCCGAACGGTGCCTGAAAGTGAATAAGCGCTGGGCGGCGGTATTTCATATCACGACATCAGACTTGAGCTTGGTTTTCTGTCCATCAGTATCAACTGCTGAAGTGGAGCGACAAATGGCAATGTCATGGACACGAGGTTCAAGTAAGCTAGCGCCAGGTAAGTCGCTGGAGAGCGCGTGAAGAAGTCAGAAGACAGAGTAGAGTAAATAGAACGAGAAGATCCATTTGTCCCTCAATTGCACTGCAAAGCGGTCAGTACCTGAGCCCAAGCGAGCCGTTGAAGGGTGAAATTCAAGTGAGATTGACAGTCGTGTCGAGAAACCGAGGTTGAATTCGGGAGAATCACACGAAAGCCGGCTGTGTTACCACTGACTGAAAGCTGTCAGCGCCCATCCAGCTTTTTCGCACCAGTCCGCACTGCCGGTCACGGATGGAGGTGAGCAAATCTTTAATGATGGCCATCGGTATCGATACCGAAGCCAGATTGAGAAAGTAGCATGGCTGTAGGGTCTCGACGAGCGTGCACCATGGAAACAGGCGATGTTCATGAGCAACAAAAGATAGAGGATCTCTTGAGGGTAGCTCAAGTGCGATACTCACCCTGAACGATTCCGTTAAAGGCATCTTGTGCGGAGAATGCACGGGATCCGAGGGACCCTTCGAGACGAAGACATCTGCGGCGGCGTAATGAACAAAGACATATCGGGAAGGGTATCATGACAGAGGAGAATTGAACGTGGGGGAACTCCCGGGGATAAAGACGACAAGTGAATGCGGGTCAAGTCTTTTAGCGCTCAGGCAAGTGGAAACCCGTTATCGCGTTAGGATGAGGGACGGACTTGATTCAACCCCAACAGGTCGAGCGTGTCGAGCGTGTATGATTATTGTTCGGTAAGTCCTATCAAAAGTACAGTATGCTTAAAGACATCCAAAAAAGACCTGTTATGATCAAGATTAGACATAACCCTAGGATAAAGTGTTCAAGTCACTCACAAGTGTATCTTCAAACGGTTCACACTTTGCCGTATCCTCCCCCCTCTAGGAAAGAGCTCATTCTCTTCACGATGACCTCCAATGCCTCCAACCACTTGTTCATCTCTACATCTAGCTTCTCTTTCGATCCACCTTGCGCAATCCGATTGTAAAAGTCCGTGCGACGCGGCACAGCGCGTATTGCCACCTGAATCATGGAATGATATCAATACCAGGGGACCGAGCTAGAGGGTGAAGGCATGGGTAACGTACCGAGACGACATTTCTGACAACGAATCCATGATGATGCCTCAATACGACATCATACGCTTGTTTGAAGCATATGTGAAGCTCCGATGTGGTACTTGATTGAGCGTTCTGTAACGCTTTGCAGATGAAGGCATGTCCTCTGGGGCAACGTACATCGGTCATACTGGATAGCTGATTTGAGAATGATGCGTTTCTTACCGCACAAGTCTAATCAAACAACCTATCGCGTTCCTTTGGTTCTCTTTCGCCTCTTGTTCTACCAGGTGTTCCAACGTATCCGAGTGCTCCTTCGACGACTCGAATCGACTTCGAACGCCCTATACACCCATCAACAGACCAAATTCCTGAAGGAATACTGTAGCTTGCCTGAATGTTCCCTCGAATATCAGCCTGCACGAAACCAAATACTCCAGATCCGAATAGGTCTACCGGAGCGGGTATCGTATCAGTTCTTCAGTGAGGCGTATTTTAACCGTTAAAACTCACCAAACATCTTTAGCAGTCCATCTGAAGCCTCTAAAAATGATACTGTCTCGACTCCGGCATCCGTAATGGGTACATCGACGAAAGACTACCAAACCAAAAGAATTCTGGTCATTCGTTGGTATCAAAGAAACAATTGAGCGTACTAACCTTCACAGTTTCAAAGTACGGAGCCATGGTCGTGAGGGAGTGAGTACAAGGTGCTGTGGCACTCTTGAGAGGCGTGCTGCATGCATGGACGCTAAAACGTTGATGGGAGTCGCAGTCAAAAAACGTGTTGCAATCAGATGCGTCATCGATGTGGAGTTTGAATCTAACCTCGGGATTTGCCGAGAGGATAGGTCGCGCGCGGGAATCTGATCGCATCTTTCCTCTCCCCTTGTGCCATGACTGAAGGCCAATAGCTCACACCCGCAAGTACTGATAGTCTTCCGGTTTTCCTAACATCTATAGTTAATTGTCCTCAGCCATCGCTACTCGAACAATTGGTATCACTTTTGGAGGAGTTGACCTCGGAACGCTCGTCTTGGGGAGCTGACCTGTGAGCCGGTGATACGAGCTCCAGTTCAGTCCTCAGCAGTGTCACTCGGTCATCTCGGTAGTGATAGAGTGTGTTTTCGTTCGAGCTACTCCCGCATTCCTACCCTCTGATCCTCTGTTCCAGGAAACCCATTCTCGCCATAAGATTTCACTTTGAAATGATCATCAAAGGCAGTGATCCCGAACGTTCATCAATCTTCATTTCCATGCTTCACTCACGGGACGGTGAGAGGTTTCGTAAGACAAAAGATATCGGATAAGGGCTCGTGTTCAACTCCAGATCACAATCAACACTGCTTGGGGACTGGTAAAGTGGTAAGGGACTGCCCTCTCACTGATGGACCGCGGTCGTCGTTTCAGATGGCAGAGAGAGAGAGCTTATGCTGAATTCCATGTACGTAGATTGCTCTCCTGCTTAGCATACGCCTTAGTCGGCTTGGGTACTCGTCGCTCAATCATCCCATAGGGTTGCACCCACCGCGTCCAGCACGATCTTGGCCTCCTTCAAGTTCTTGTACTCTATTTTGCAGTGAGGCAACCGTCGTCACTAGCTCCTGCTCCCGCGAAGACTGGGGCTCGGAAGGCGGACTCCTCGAATAGGGAGGTGGATCCGCCATTTCTGGGTCTGACCATGTCGACTCAGTGGGCTCATTGGTCGTTACGACCGGTGGCGGATGTGCTATTGAGCGTGAGCATTCAACTATGAACCAATGACCCAGATTTTCACGTACCTTGTCCTTGCTCGAGCTTTGCCAACTCTATCTCAACTCT